ACAGTCTGGTGGTCGCGGCTGGCGAGCAGCATAGGGGGTGCTGCTGCCGACACCGGTCAGGAGGAGGTGCGAGGCGGGGCAGGGGTTCGTGGGGGTGCGCGGGGGGTGCGGGGGCAGCCCTACCCGAGGGGGCGTGTTGCCCGGCCAGCCCGGCGATGCGTCGTAAACATCGATCGGTAAACATGCATTGCTCCGTCGTAGGACAGCAAGAGGGGGAGGGGCGGGGTGGCCTGCTGTAAGTAGTGAAAGGTGGGGCGGCGCGGCTCAAGTGGCCCACGCCCTGCCCCGCCCCGCCCCCGGGCCCGGTGGAGACGCTGTCATCGCGTTCGCCGGGGAGCACCGCGTGCTGAGCGCTGCGCGTGGTAGGTAATCCGTCTCGCGCGGGGAGTTTCCGCTTCTGCGTTCTGATGAACCTGTTTAGGCGAATCACACCGCTGTTGGGGCGCGACAGCCTGGCGTGGGGCGGGGCGCGGGGCGCGCAGCCAGGCCATTCACACGCCACGCCACGCCTCCCCCACCCCTACCCCGCCCTGCCCCGCTGCGGTCGTGTTGTGGAATAAAGGAAGGGAGGAGGAGAAGGGAAGGAAGGAAAAGGGGTTGTCGGGATGGTTATGGAGGAGGCCTGACACGGCCCGGCCGGGGGCACGCCAGCGGCACGCCAGGGGCACGCCATGGGGCCCCGCCCCGCCCCTGCCGCACGAGACACGCCATGGGGCCGGCCCCGCGCGCCCTCCGCCTCCGCAGCAGCAGCAGACAGCGGCTCGGTGGGGCCGCCCCGCCCGTGCGCCGTGCTGCGTGCGCCCCCAATGCGTCGTTTTTCTGGGACTCATCATCCGCCGAACCCACAACAAAAATCGGTGCTCCCCTGGCTCCCCTGCCCTCCCCCCTTTAACAACTTCCGCGCTCTGTTTGTCTCTTCCCCTTTCCTTTGTTAGGGCCTCTCTTGACATCAGGAGTGGTGGTGTGGGGAGGAGGAGGAGGAGGAGGGGAGGTTCACTACGAGAGTGGCGGGCGCAAAAGGACTCCAAACACAGTTTTGCGCTTCAGGTAAGTATAGTGTGCGTGAGGCACTCCATCGGGAGCAAGTGCGTGGCGACACATAGACACAAACTTACTGCCACGCCTCAGCGAAAAATTACAACTTTTCCGTGCACCTTCAAAGCGACACATTTCATCGGTAGCCTGCAACGCGTGTCCTTGGCGCCGCCGTGTTCTGTGCAGGAGGAGGGGGTGCGGGGCGACTTTCTGACAGCTTTCCATTTAGCCCGCGCCGCCTGCGCCCGCGCCCGACTCAACACACCGCGGCCGTTGGAAGAAGTGAGGTTGGCCGGCCCTGCTCGGGCCTGCTCCCGCCTGCTCCCCTGGTCCGGGCCGGGCTCGCGTGAGACGTCACGCCACCGAGTCAATACAGGGCAACACGTTCGACAGGCGCCCCGGGCCCCGGCGCGGGAGCCGCGCAGAATGTTGTTATTGTTGACCTGATCGACTCCCGCCACGTCGTCCTTTCCTTCGACGACGGCGTCCTCGACATATGGCGGCGGCGACCTTGTCCGGCCTCCTCCGGGCGCTGGGATGAACGAACTACCTCGAGCGAGGGCGGTGGTGGTGGTCACGATCGACGTCCGCAATTAACCACATGCGTGATCGGGGCTCTGACGCAGGACGGCATCCGTTTTACGAATTTATAAAAGCTTTCATATTGTCTTGTTAGTTATTTCCGGCAGTGGTGAGGCGAGTTTGTTTGTTTGTTCTGCGCGCGCGCGCGCGCTTGTGTGTGTGTGATCGCGTTCGCGGACTCCCGCGACGTGAGAGATATTGATTCGGTAGACGGGTCGCTGCCCCCGGCCCACCTCCAGCCCGCCCCCGGCCCGCCCCAGCGTGGTTTGGTTGGCCCCCATGTCACAATCCTGCAGCTCGCGCACCATAGCAGGCTGGTGAGCCGGTGAGCCCCCATATAATGGCGGTGGGTTGCGCGGACGAAAATAAACCGCGAGCTCATAAAAAAACATAC